CTACAAATTCTGCATACCTTTCCTTGTCCAAAGGATCCACCGTGATTCCTTTTACGCCATCCACGTTCCTCGACTGCTCATTGACCGTCTCATCCTCGTAACACAATTGCGGTTGTGATGCAGCCTTCTCGATCCCCTTAGCCGAGTTCCTCCTCTGGAACTCCGTTTCCTGACTGGCCCCCTCGTTCTTCATGTAAAGCTGCGGCACCCCGTACCTGGGCCTGCCCTGGGCGTAATGGTAGTAGACCTCCTGTCCAGACAGTCTGAGCTCTTGGGCTTGTCTCGAGGTGCTCGGGAGGTCGATCTGAGATCTGGACATCGCCTGCCTGGCTTGCTGGTACTGCTGGTATGACACGCTGCTCGAGTAGAAACTCTGTGGCACGTTCCTCTGCGCGTTCTGACCAACCAACTGTTGCTGCTGCTGATGCATCTGCTGCATCAGTTGCCTCTGCATATTCTGAGCGTGCTGTTGGGTGAACCTTGGGCTTTGGTGGTGCGTCTGATTCTGGTGCAGCAGCTGCTGGGGACTTTGGAAGTTTTGGTTCGACGACTGCATCGCGTTTGCTTGATGCTGTTGCATCGTTGTCAAACCGTGACTCTTCTGCATTTGCGTATTCTGAAAAGATTTTTTTTATTTGCGTATTCTGAAGATTTTTTTTATTAAAAGAATAATAGTATACGTAGATAATAAATTAATTACGATAACAAGTGAGTTAAAAATGTTTACGTTTAAAAGATTTTCTAGATGACACAGTGAATTTTCTCACCTGATTCTGATGAAGTCCTTGATGAAGCTGCTGGCCAGATATCCCTGAAGCCTGGACGACGTACTCTCTTCCCACGTTCTGCACCTGCTGTTGCTGGTTGCCAACATTTGTACCAGTGCCTGTCGCGGATTGCCCGAAATTTGGTACTTGCGTTTGGTGGACCGTCTGCACCCCTCCGGGTGGCGCGTGGTGCGTCACGTGCAGTTGAGCACCCTGACCTGGCAAACTCGGTTGGAGTTGCCCAGGCAGCGGCACGTTCGGCTGCTGACCACCCAGGTAGCTGTACGAGTGCCCGTACTGGCCTGAAATTAAACATTTATTATGCAAATGGTGACATAATAAATCATTTAATTATACGACATAATAATTGATTCTAAATTGGAATTAATTATTGCTTCGACATTCGATTTAACACAAGAATTTCAATAAATGATTTCATTTAGTATAACAAGTGTCAATATTAATCATGATTTCAATGAAATGTTTATATCAAGAAAGAACTTACCACAAGTGTTCTTCGGATATTGTTGCACATTAATGGGGGGAGGATCTTGTGCTCTAGGTTTCCCATAGATTCCCTCCTTCTTCTTGGTGGAATCTTCTTCGTCGACGCTTCTACTGGAATTCTTCCTGGACTCATCTGCGACGTTGTTCAAACTCGCTTCTGGAGGCTCTTGTTCCACATCTTTGCGGCCCTGACCTCCGAAACGGCTTGAAATCATGTCTTTGATCGTGTGATAAGTTCTGGTGATCGACTTGCTCTTCTCCTCGTCGACGGCCCTCGACGACGTCCTCGGCGCTGACGACGTCGACCTTCGGACCAATTTACGTTAACTCATTCATGCTAGATAATGTATGATTCACTTTGTGATGATAATTCACAGAGGAATTCTTATACAGAATCATCTATGGCGCGTTCGATTTTCTTATGAACGCATAAAATCCGGTGTCTGATGATAATTCATATTCAGGGGGTGAGAAATATAATACTTACGCGTAGGGCTCGGGTGGCTGGTAACTCCTCGACTGATTCTCCTGCCTCACGTCTTGCATTTGAGCACTCTGTAAAAATTTCAATTATGAAGGTATAATAAATGATTCTAAGATAAGTGAATTTTTTCAGAAATACTAAGAATGCTATTTAAGGATGTATTGGCTATACAATCAATCCCAAAAGTTTATGTACTTTAGAAAAAC